TATCTCTTTCTGTCTGGCTCAAAATAAAACCAGCGTTCAAGGAAACCAGCTGGACATGTGGCAAACAAGGTCAGAATTGTTTCACTGTATGGTTTATCTCTGGCTCAAAATGAACCCAATGTTCAAGGCAACCAGCTGGACATGTGTCAAACAAGGTCAGAATTGTTTCACTGCATGGTTTATCACTGGCTCAAAATGAACCCAACGTTCAAGGCAACCAGCTGGACATGTGTCAAACAAGGTCAGAATTGTTTCACTGCATGGTTTATCTCTTTGTCTCTGGCTCAAAATGAACACAACGTTCATGGAAACCAGTTGGACATGTGTCAAACAAGGTCAGAGTTTCTTGTGATACGATCAGATTTGTGCCCTTTTCATCAGGTGCCATAAAACGTGACAGCAGCCAGACAGAAACCGTCGACATACCAAGTTCATAGTACAGAACATTTTCAACTCTCTCACGGAATAATCTAATAGCATGGGATTTATAATCAATCGCCAATCATCTATGAGGATCAACGTTTTCCTGGGTGTTGCTTTTGGAGCACTTCCAGACTATGGGTCTTCTTCAAGACGCTCCCTTCTCCTCAGAAATTTAATTGGATGCTGTCAAACTGTTGATAAATGTGGAGCAGCATTCCCTAATGTAACAAACATGCCAGCATGATTGTCCTTGAAGGGCTACACATATTTTCTGCACCACTATATTACATAATGGTGACACCATGTCGTTAATTTCTACTAGTCCTACTAGTTATATTTGAAGTTCATGAGAACAGTCAGACGTTATTTTACCTGGAGTAAACAAGGTAGTTATTAATAAGAATAACTGAAGTTATTGCACGCAAGAATCCACAGTTCTGGCATCACTCATTCATAGTCAACCTACATTTCAGCCAACCCTCATAAAGACGCATAGATAGAAGTATTTACATTGGACTGCTGAACTCATCTTTATTATCATATTCACGTTATTTCAGCCGATGCGGGCTCCCGCCTTCTTCAGGTGATATACGTTGCAATCTCTAACTGAAACTCCATGGGGGTAGATTGTTATAATTCAATGTTCCATGTGGTTTATGGATATCTCCATTGTCAGTTAAATCCATTTAGTAACTCAACACTCCAAGATATTGTTCATCTCTCTTGTGGCTAGATATTGAACTCATAACTCTTTAGAGTAAGCTACATTGTGTGTGTGTGTGTGTGTGTGTGTGTGTGTGTGTTGTGCCGTAGGCTGTTTGTTTTCTTTTTTTTTGTCTATGTATCAGTAATCGTAAGCTGTTCCTGATACACACACACACACATATATATACATATGTATATATCATGAACAGCCTAAAACTATAAAGAGATAGATAAAAAGAAAATGAAAAAATATATATATATATATATATATATATATATATATATATATATATATATATATATATATATATATATATATATATATATATATATATATATATATATATATATATATATATATATGTATGTATGTATGTATATATATTTAGCAGCCAACAATTATAGATAGATAGATAGATGGAAACAAAATGAACAGCATACCCTGGAACGTTAGTATTATGTAGAGTAGTTATTTTTCAAATAAACAGCTTACGTTTATAGATAGATAGAAATTCTTTCCTTTGAATCATAGCCCCATACCATGGAACGTTATTATTATGGAGATGGCTAAAAAGAAAGAAAATGAACGGCCTATATTAGGCTCTGTATTTCTGACAAAGATGGGTACGCCCTGAAAATATAACAGGGTACGCCCTGAAAATATAACAGGATACGCCCTGAAAATATAACAGGGTACGCCCTGAAAATATAACTGACCGCAGGGTCATCAACTGATAAACTACTGCTGGAAAACACTACTTAATATTCATTTAAGAAGCGAGTTCACACACACTATATGTTTATATATATATATATATATATATATATATATATATATATATATATATATATATATATATATATACACTACACACACTGGGGGGTGAGTGTAAGAGTGTTTACAAGTTTTAGGTAGGATGCAAAGAGAATAGTTTGTGGAAATCAATATAAACCAATATAGATATGGAAAGTACTGTTATTTTTGGAAACTACTGTTTTGTCCAGGGTCGGCGAAGGGAAAATGGCGGGGAGCGTGTATTGAACGAGTTGGTAGGTTCGCGTAAGCAGAAAGACATCTCGAAGTAAATGTTGGGGGAGGGGATAGTGCGTGGGGAAGAGATGAATATCGGATCAAGGAAAACAGGAAGATTTCGAACGGAAAGATCACGCAGGAGGAAAAATTAAAGGAGGAAAATAGAAACAAATTAAAAGATATGTCTTTAAAAAAAAGAATAAAATGTTTCAAAGAAAGATAGAGAGAAGAAACCATGCGATACAGGACGTGGAAAAAGACAGAAGAGAAGAGAAAGAAGCAAAGAAAGAAAGAGAGGAATGAAAATAACATGTTTCAAAGAAAGAAAGCAACCGAGAAAGGATGAAAGAAGCAAAGAAAGAAAAAGCAGAGAAAGAAAGTTAAGATTGAGGACATAAAAGATTTTATCAGAACATGGAGAAAGAAAAAAGGAAACTAATTTAACATAGGGACATGAAGAAAGAAAGAAAAAAGAAAGATGCAGGACATGGAGAAACAAAGAATGAAATCCAGTTGTGAAAGAAAGAAACAGCTAAAAAAAGAAAGAAACAAACAAACAAACAAATACGGAGAATCATTACGAGGCTGACAGAGAAAGTGAAACATGTAAAAGAAAGAAAGAAAGAAAGAAAGAAAGAAAGAAAGAAAGAAAGAAAGAAGAAAGGAATGCTAGGTAGAAAGAGAAAATGGAACATGTAAAAGAAAGAAAGAAAGAAAGAAAGAAAGAAAAAAGAAAGAAAGAAAGAAAGAAAGAAAGAAGGCATAGAAACGTTACTTCGGGGTTAGGGACATTGAGAGATATATAAATAAACAAAGAAAGAAAGAAAGAAAGAAAGAAAGAAAGAAAGAAAGCATAGAAACATTACATGGAGGACAAGAATATTGAGTGATATAAAAGAAAGAAAGAAAGAAAGAGAGAAAGACATTCTAGGCAGAAAGAGAAAATGGAACATGTAAAAGAAAGAAAGAAAGGAAGAAAGAAAGAAAGAAATTCTAGGCAGAAAGAGAAAATGTAACATGTAAAAGAAAGAAAGAAAGAAAGAAAGAAGAAAGTAATGCTAGGCAGAAAGAGAAAATGGAACATGTTAAAGAAAGAAAAAAAGAAAGAAAGAAAGAAAGAAAGAAGGAAATGCTAGGCAGAAAGAGAAAAATGGAACATGTAAAAGAAAGAAAGAAAGAAAGACAGAAAGAAAGAAAGAAAGAAAGAAGGAAATGCTAGGCAGAAAGAGAAAAAGGAACATATAAAAGAAAGAAAGAAAGAAAGAAAGACAGAAAGAAATGCTAGGCAGAAAGAGAAAATGGAACATGCAAAAGAAAGAAAGAAAGAAAGAAAGAAAGAAAGAAGGAAATGTTAGGCAGAAAGAGAAAAATTGAACATGTAAAAGAAAGAAAGAAAGAAAGAAAGAAATGCTAGACAGAAAGAGAAAATGGAACATGTAAAAGAAAGAAAGAAAGAAAGAAAGAAGGAAATGCTAGGCAGAAAGAGAAAATGGAACATGTAAAAGAAAGAAGGGAAGAAAGAAAGAAGGAAATGCTAGACAGAAAGAGAAAATGGAACATGTAAATAAAGAAAGAAAGAAGGAAAGAAAGAAAGAAAGAAAGAAGGAAATGCTAGGCAGAAAGAGAAAATGGAACATGTAAAAGAAAGAAGGAAGAAAGAAAGAAGGAAATGCTAGACAGAAAGAGAAAATGGAACATGTAAATAAAAAAAAAAGAAAGAAAAAGAAAGAAAGAAAGAAGGAAATGCTAGGCAGAAAGAGAAAATGGAACATGTAAAAGAAAGAAGGAAGAAAGAAAGAAGGAAATGCTAGACAGAAAGAGAAAATGGAACATGTAAAAGAAAGAAAGAAAGAAAGAAAGAAAGAAAGAAGGAAATGCTAGACAGAATGAGAAAATGGAACATGTAAAAGAAAGAAAGAAAGAAAGAAGGAAATGCTAGGCAGAAAGAGAAAAATGGAACATGTAAAAGAAAGAAAGCAAAAGAAAGAAAGAAAGAAGGAAATGCTAGACAGAAAGAAAAATGGAACATGTAAAAAGAAAGAAAGAAAGAAAGAAAGAAAGAAAGAAGAAATGCTAAGAATGAAAAATGGAACATGAAAAAGAAAGAAAGGAAAGAAGGAAATGCTAGGCAGAAAGAGAAAAATGGAACATGTAAAAGAAAGAAAGAAAGAAAGAAAGAAAGAAGGAAATGCTAGACAGAAAGAGAAAATGGAACATGTAAAAGAAAGAAAGAAAGAAAGAAGGAAATGCTAGACAGAAAGAGAAAATGGAACATGTAAAAGAAAGAAAGAAAGAAAGAAGGAAATGCTAGGCAGAAAGAAAAAATGGAACATGTAAAAGAAAGAAAGAAAGAAAGAAAGAAAGAAAGAAAGAAAGAAGGAAATGAAAAGAGAAAAATGGAAATGTAAAAGAAAGAAAGAAAGAAAGAAAGAAAGAAAGAATGAAAGAAAGAAAAAGAAAGAAATACATAGAAGATTACTAGGCGGACAGAGAAAGTGAAAGATGTAAAAGAAAGAAAGAAAGAAAAAAGAAAGAAAGAAAGAAAGAAAGAAAGAAATACATAGAAGTATTACTAAGTGGACAGAGAAAGTGAAAGATGTAAAAGAAAGAAAGAAAGAAAAAAAGAAAGAAAGAAAGAAAGAAATACATAGAAGTATTACTAAGTGGACAGAGAAAGTAAAAGATGTAAAAGAAAGAAAGAAAGAAAAAAAGAAGGAAAGAAAGAAAGAAAGAAATACATAGAAGTATTACTAAGTGGACAGAGAAAGTGAAAGATGTAAAAGAAAGAAAGAAAGAAAAAAAGAAAGAAAGAAAGAAAGAAAGAAAGAAGAAATGCCATGTGGAATGAGAAAGGAAAATATGTAAAGAAAGAAAGAAAATAGAAAGAAAGAGAAAAATGAAATCGAACGAAACATAAAGAAATGAAAAGTTTAAACTTCTGAAATAAGGATGATTTTAAATATAAGCCATGGTCGAAAAACTAGAGAAACAACAAAAATAAATAAAACGAACTAACAACATAAGAAAATCATTTTACCCCCTCCACCATTAAAAACAAAAAAGAAAAGAGGAGAGTAAGTTGGCCTACCTCAGAAGGAAACCCGTAATCGTTCTAATTTTATTTTTTTAATCATTTCGACACAGGCAAGACAATAAAGACAGTAATACTCAAGGGGTTTACTGAATGTGAGAGACAATGCAAACAAGAAAACATTAGGGAGAAAGAAAAATAGAAAAAGAGGAATTCAGAAGATAAAGATTGAAATTGCGTTTAAATTTTTGAAAGAGATTACCACAAGTAAGAAGTGCGAGAGAAGAATCTGTTAGCATAGAACTCAAGGTTTATATATAGTCATTTCTAATGTAAGATGATGTCACTCTAGGAGCAAAGTTAAATTCCGAAAGTTTGGGTAACAAGGTGGAATAATCATCAGAGCAATAAAAATCTTTATAAAAAAAAGGCCTAGGAAAGTTATGTTACGGCCTTGAGAAAGGGACTAAGGCCGAGATGCCAAGTTAGCCCTAAGAACATCACAAATTCTTATGTGGATTTTATCAAAATCGTCTGCATCCAAAGCAGTAGGACATGCAATTCATTGACGAGTGGTAGAAATGTTGAATCAATTTTCCTAGCAGCTGACTTCTTGATTCACTCTAATCTATCCCCACCATGTAAGAGGAAAGACTTTAGATTGAGAAATTGCTAGAAGTTACTCAACAATTTCCAACAGGTAGCAGACGTAAATTCTTGTGTTTTAGTCTCTTAAAAACTATGCATTTCTCATGGTCGAATTTAGATTAACACGTTTCTCCTCCATCTTTTGACCAACACCATCTGTCGAATAACAATTCATCACTACATTTATCGTTATGCACCACAAGATGACGATCCAGTTTCCCGTAACCCATGAGTTCCGTTGGAGCACCACAAATACAGTAGAAGTAGAAAAATCTAGAGAAAATTGGGGCCCATCCATATTTTTGCCAAATCAGTGGAGCACTTGACCTAAAATGTCTCTATACTAAAGTTAGATCTACCATATATACATATTTTTCCAAGTCTAGCTGCTAACCAAAACAAGATAGTCCCTTCTAATCTGCTATTTAACCCAGAGCCAGAGGAAGAATGATTTCCCAAGGGTACCAACTCAAAGGGGAAGAAGTATGGTCGATCATAATTTTATTTCGGCACGCCGGTTCGACTTAAGGCGTAATCAGGATTGCGGAAAATGAAAGGGATATTACCATTGAGCGGGAATCCAATAAAGTTTAGATAAGAATAAAGGCAAACAAAGAATAAAGAAAGTTCGAGAAGTAAATGGAGCCGGATATTATTTACATTATTCGGACTATTGTTCTCACCTTTGTCGCCATATTACAACGTTTCGGCCGCCGTACGCTCCGGCCTTCTTCAGTTTTCGGTTCGAAATTCTAATTACCTGAAAAAGGACGGTGAGTTAAACCGCCAAAATGTTGTAATAAATGGCGACAAAGAAGAGAATAATAGTCCAAAATATATAAATAATGTACATAATACCTCATCTCAGAAATATAGACACATACTGAAGGGCCGAAACGTTGTAATATATATGGCGACAAAGATGAGGACAATAGTCCGAATAATGTAAATAGTGTACATAATACCTCATCTTAGAAATATAGACAGATACTGAAAGGCCGAAATGTTGTAATAAATATGGCGACAAAGATGAGGACAATAGTCCGAATAATGTAAATAGTGTACATAATACCTCATCTGAGAAATATAGACAGATACTGAAAGGCCGAAACGTTGTAATATATATGGCGACAAAGATGAGGCCAATAGTCCGAATAATGTAAATAGTGTACATAATAATTCATCTCAGAAATATAGACAGATACTGAAAAATTATCGAAACGTTGTAATATATATGGCGACAAAGATGAGGACAATAGTCCGAATAATGTAAATAGTGTACATAATACTTCATCTCAGAAATATAGACAGATACTGAAAGGCCGAAACGTTGTAATATATATGGCGACAAAGATGAGGACAATATTCCGAATAATGTAAATAGTGTACATAATACTTCATTTCAGAAATATAGACAGATACTGAAAGGCCGAAACGTTGTAATATATATGGCGACAAAGATGATTACAATAGTCCGAATAATGTAAATAGTGTACATAATACCTCATCTGAGAAATATAGACAGATACTGAAAGGCCGAAACGTTGTAATAAATATGGCGATAAAGATGAGGCCAATAGTCCGAATAATGTAAATAGTGTACATAATACCTCATCTCAGAAATATAGACAGATACTGAAAGGCCGAAACGTTGTAATATATATGGCGACAAAGATGAGGACAATAGTCCGAATAATATAAATAGTGTACATAATACTTCATCTCAGAAATATAGACAGATACTGAAAGGCCGAAACGTTGTAATAAATATGGCGACAAAGATGAGGACAATAGTCCGAATAATCTAATTAGTGTACATAATACCTCATCTCAGAAATATAGACAGATACTGAAGCTGGATATTTTATTCTTTTTCTATGTGCGTGATATGCGGTTATGCCTCTTCACGTCCGTTCTAATTCATATTATTTTGATATTTGTCTATATCTTTGAGATGAAGTACAATGATTATTTAGATTATTTACATTATTCAGCCTTTTATCCTAATTTTCATTGCCATATTCACATGCCATTATACGCTCCGGCCTTCTTCAGGTAATTAGAATTTCCACCCGAACATTTCATTTCGTCCACCGAGGTAGATAGCTATAGTTCCACGTGCCATGCCTCTTTCCGACATCTGAAGGACACACGGCCCAGTCGGCTAGATCTAGAGACTAAACCCAAAGAGCTGTGACGTTCAGTACCAGGTCACAGCAGTGGTGATGCAAAACTTAGAGAGTTGAGTTAAAGGAAATAACTGATACATCCGGGAGAGTCATGGCTCGTGGAACTAGAACAATCTACACCGGTGGACGAAATAAAGGGTCAGGTTCGAAATTCCAATCGAGTCAAGAAGGTCGGAGCGTACAGCAGCCGAAAAGTTGTGAATATGCCAATGAAGATGAGGATAACAGTCCGAATAATGTAAATAATGCAAGTAATCATAATACCTCATCTCTGAGATATAGACAGATATTGAAGAAAAATTCCAATCACCTGAAGAAGGCCACAGCGTACTACGGCCGAAATGTGAATATGGCAATGAAGATGAGGATTAAATCCGAAACAGGTAAATAATGCAAGTCATCATAATACCTCATCTCAAACATATAGACATATGTTGAAGAAAAATCACAATCACCTGAAGAAGGCCTGAGCGTAAACGGCCGAAACGTTGTGAATATAGCAATGAAGATAAGAATAACAGGTCGAATAATGGAAATAATGCAAGTAATCATTTTATTTTGTTTTTCACGATGTCTTCCACACCTTGATCTACCAAACAGTTACACAAAATTGTTTTTTAGGTTTCCTCTGTTATATTTGTTTTCAATATGTGGACATGTCAAATTCTCCAATCCCCTTTTTCTCATTATGTGACTCTTAAATTTCAACTCCCTCTCCCTGATTCTAAATATGAGCTTACTTTTTTTCCAGTTTCCTTAAAATCTTCTCTTTTTGACATTATTCAGTACAGGCCATTCTCATCATCCTTCTGTAGAACAAAACTTCTGTTGCCTCTAGTTTTATCTTCATCTGTGAGGAAATTGCCCAGCACTGAAGACCATGTTTGATTTTAAAAATGTTTGTATTCTTTTAGCTTTTGAATGGAAGGAATAAATGTACATTTCGATAAAACACATGAAAATGATGGAAAGGATATAAATAAATTAAAGAAAAAACAAGCAAGAAAAGGAATAAAATGTACACACAGAAAATAGGGAAAGGAATTAGAGAAAGTTAAAGAAGAAGAAGAAGAAGAAGAAGAAGAAGAAGAAAACGGAAAAAAAGAAGTGGAAGGAGAAGAAGAAGGGGTAAAATTTTGCGGAGGTAGAAGACAATAGAAAATTATCCAGAAAAAATAAGTAAAAGCAAAATAAAGAAGAAACTATATATTTATACGAAGAATAAGAACGTATTTCTAAGTAATATGTAGAAGAGCGTGAGGAAGATAATATATGGGAAGTCCATGAATAGGAGGAGGCAAAATAACCAAAAATCAAGGAAAGGTCAGAGGTTGTAACGAACTCGACGGTAGGAGACACTTCTCTCATTCTGACCCGCTATTTATTAGAGGACATCATCTCAATTATATGCATAGATATGAAATACAAATTTCCTAATTCAGGAATACACTAGAATATGTTTGGAAAACCGGAAGTCAAAATCGTTACAACTAAAAAAAAGAGGAAGAAGAAAAAGTGAGAAAAAGTAAAAATAAATAAATAAATAAGATAACGTATGAGTGTAAAGTAAAAAAAAATCGATGAAAAGAACAAATAACCAGGCCGTTCTACACACGTACGCCCGAATACATACACTATGAAAGAAAAACTTGCAACAATGGAAAGTGCATATAAAAAAAAAGATAAAATCGAGTAGTATAAACAGTCAATTGCTGATAAACCCTGACAAGTGGATGGAGTGATTACCTGAGACTCTAGAATCCTAATGTTGAAGACAATCAGCTAGACGAGAACATTTTTGCGTGTATTAATTTTGTAATTGATAACGGCGTAAAACGATGTGTCATTCCATCTTCAATACACTCTGTCATCTATTTTTATGTAACCTTAAATGAGGCTTTTCAAAATTAGTTGGCGTTTATCTTCCTCTCAGACCAAATGGGATTTTTTTTTTTTATCTGAGACGATTCA